GAGTACAACGGCAGCCGCTACAGCCCCGATGGCGTCCCTTATGTCAACATCCTGAAGGTGAGTTTCGTCTAAGTCTGTGAGGATATTCTCATTAAAGTCGTCACCTAAATGTCTTATTTAATGAGTTCTTCCCGTCGGTCAGTCCGTCCGTGCCTCAGGGTAATTGTCAGGCTCCTTCCTCCAACTCTACGCCTTCATTATGGAAGTGGGGGGAAAGAAGAAAGTGGAGTTCTCCTCAGCTGAGGAACGCTCATTAACAGAGTGATGCCACAGGGAAGGATTCAGTTGGAAAGAACGCGGTGAGATGTTTCAGAGAGAGCACTGAGGAGTAATTGGCAGCCGCTGAAAGTAAAATACGGTCGTAATTAAAGGTTTATTTTCAGTAGTATTTCTGATAAATGAAACATTTGACATATATTAAAGGTCACATTCTCAAAGATTTATTGACTGATATTAAATACGGTAGCCACCGGTGTAAAGCCTGGCTGTTGTTATCCAGTCTTAAGAATTTCATATAAAAGCAGTGATATAAACATGTGATGCAGTAATATACAGTGTTGAGGAACTAAATCTTTGCAGTGTGTCTGATCATGTCAGACAGACGGTTGAACAGTCCAGGCTCTTCTCCAGAGCAGCACTGCCGTGACTTCTGTCTGCAGTTTTTAGATACTTTGTGTCTTCGCCGCTGCATCTTGTTTCACTTTAAAAAGGTTTTCTCCATCACGGCTTCTCCCCTGTGAGAGACACAGACACAGAGGTTAAGTAAACGCCGCGGGCAAGAGTCGGCGGATAATTTGAGGAGAGCTCGCTACTGTTTAAGAAAGCAAACTCCTGGAGGTCCCGCGGCCTCCCCAGACAGCACCGGTGTTCAAGAATAGAGCCCGGAGCATTCCAGGCCAAGAGAGGACAACACCCTAAACCCACAGTTAGGAAGGCTCCCATCGAAGGAGCAGAAAACCAAACCCCCCCCACCCCCCCCCCTTTTTATTTTCTGCCTCTAGAGAGCGAGGGAATAAAAACATCTGGTTTGGAGTAAGTTAAATGCCGTGGTGGCGGCATCACAGTGAGAAAGAGAGACGGGCTCTGTAAACTGCCGCTGCCATCAGATGTGCTGCGTCGCGTGGTTTAGAAAAGGGAGAGGAGGAGGAGGAGGTGGAGGAGGAGGACCCAGCAAAGAGGCACCAAAAGAGCCATGGAAAAACTGAGTGGAGGAGCAGAAGGAAGGGCACCGTCAGCAGAGAAAAAGAGAGAATGTGTGACAGAATGTTGGGTGAAGACGGAGGACAAGAGAGTAAGAGGGTGTGTGGGGAGAGGAGAGGGTGAGAGAGGCAGACAGAAGGGGGGAGGAACAAAGCAAACAGAGAAAGATAAAAGCAGTGAGAGTGTGGAGAACCAGACGTGGAATCTGTTTGACTGACGTCTTTGTTTTTACTCTGACTCTTCACTTCAATGGGAACTTAAGCAATAAAGTCAGTCTCTACACTTTCTGCTGCACGAGGGGACAAAGTTGACCGCTGTCTCCTCCAACACCGTCATCTTAAAGATTACAATCATGTGAATGCAACTGCAGGAGAGGGAAAACTGGACGGAAGAAAACAAAGTAAATGAATGGAGAATGGATCAGGAATTAGCTTTGATGTTTGGGGCAGAGATGGCAGTGGAGTTGTGGGACTGAACTCTTTCTACCACAGTTGTTGTTTTTATTTACCAGACCAATCAATCAGGAAGAACTAAATGACTCTTTTCACTTGGCTGCAGAGTGAGAGGCAGTGAGAAATGAGGTGCAGCAGGTTAGGGCGATAAAGGTTTTATCCATGGAGATAAAGTATCAAGAATGAGCTACGTAGTTTTGGAACGATGAAGAGACAGTGGTCAAGAATGAGTTTTGTTAGTAGTTTTGGAACGATGAAGAGACAGTGGACATGTTTTTGCTGGACTTTTGACTGTGTTACTCTGGGACAGACTTTTTCATCACTCTGGTCTCATATTTAGTGTGAGGGTCAGGCAGAGAAATGAAGGAGCAGAGGGGAGGGATACCGAAAGAGCAGGAGTTGGAGGGGAACAGAGAGGAGGAGGAGGAGGAGGAGGAGAAGAAAATGCCACAGAGATGGAGTCTGTGAGCCCAGACCGCGGCTCCACGCTCTATTTTCAACTACCACATAATTGAAGCAGTATTTACTGAGCTCTACTGTATATAGTATCTGCCGCTGGCCTGCGCCGCAGAGACATTCAGACTGGTGGAGACATACGTGTCACGTGTGGTGAACAGTATAGACGAGTTAAATACAGCTGAGCGTGAGGGGGAGGACGAGGGAGAGGGGGAGGAGGAGGAGGAGGGTGAAGAAATGCCTTTTCTGATGCTCAGAGAAAGGGAAAATATCTTAATGATGAGTGAAGCACGGCGGCCTGTCGACGGAGGAGGGCGGAGTCCTGGGTGTTCCTTAAAAAAAAAAAAAACATAAAACATGATGTGTTTTCTTCTTCATCTGATTTAACTGTTAAATTATTCATCAGTGGTTTCTCTGCTGGAGAGCTGTCACTGACTGTGTGTGTGTGTGTGTGTGTGTGTGTGAGAGAGAGAGAGAGAGAGAGAGAGAGAGAGAGAGAGAGTTTCGAGGGGATAATGTACGTCACACGACACTTTGTGGTTGATTGACATGCCAATAGATAACATGTGTTCCTGGAAGTATACAGTGTTCCGCTTTTGTGTGTGTGTGTGTGTGTGTTAAATCTCAGCTCTTTCTCCCTGTTTGTACATTTTCCTCAGTGAGTTAACTCACTGTCACTCACACACATGAGTTAAAGCAGAGTTAACAGACAGACTCGTATTGAAATCAATCAATGTACTTTTAGTATAAAAAAAAACGTTTTCTGTAACTGGAGCTGCTAAGAAATAAGACATCTCTATGGTTCTTACTGGTAGAACATTTTAGCTCACAGCTACAAAAGTTAAAGACCTTTCTAAACACATAATGAGTAAAAAGGTTTTATTTTTATAATTGTTCTCTGAGGGCGTCTTTGTCCCTGCAGTACTTCATTGTTCTTGCAGGACGTCGTTCCTGCAGGTCCATGTGGTTGCTCAGGCCTGACGCTGCTTCTTGCTGTTTTCCTTTTCCACAGAGTGTGGTCAGTAAACACACTGAGGCCCACAGTAAGTTCTCTCTGTCCAATGTGACCGAGAAAGACGCCGGAAAATATTGGTGTCGAGCTTCGAACTTTGTAGGAAAGTCGGAAAATGCTTTCTGGCTCATGGTGCACAAAGCAGGTAAAAAACTGATCTGAGATCAGTGGAGAAACACCTTGGGTTCTCTGGAAATACTCCCTCTACTGGTTGTGGGTCTGATCAGTTTAATGGCTCTTTAACACAAACACATGATTCAACACAACACACACACACAGGCAGACAGACCAGCCAATGGTTCTGGAAATGGAGTCAGGACGAGAAATGATGTGTATTTCTCATCAAGGTACTAAAACTTTAACAACAACAATACTGTGAGTGTGTGTTTGCAGCACAGCAAAAGGTTTATGGAAATGGCCTTTCAGGAACTTTTACCATTAACTAGGAACAGTACCAAGAACTAGTCTCTTCTAGTGAACATTTTAAGTGCCAGAATATGTCTGTATTTCATTAATAGGAACCTTTGTGAGGAACCAACGATCAATTATGGACTGTTATTCAGTCCCTTGAGAGTTTTCCAGTGGTAAGACTACGAGGGAGTACTGGAACTGTTGGGGGCGGAGCTTGTGGCACACACTAGAGGAATTGATTTGCATAATCTCCGTAAGAGTTTTATCACAGTGGCGTCACAGGCGGACATCGGAGGAAAGTGACAACCGTATTGTTTCTTGAAAGTACTTCCTGCTTCTCAGTAAACCTAGTACTACTCCGTTCGATAAACAGCAAACAATGTATTTTTATGTAATGTGGTGAACTCAGAAACCTCCTCTCCTAAAAACCACCATCATAAATATTATAAATAAAACCTACAAGTAGCCTCCCACCAGCCACACACACACACACACACTCTCTCTCTCTCTCTCTCTCTCTCTCTCTCTCTGTGGTTGGCGCGCAGATGAAAGCTACAGCAGGACTCTGATTCATCCTTCTTGATGTCACTGTTGATTATTGAAGCCTGGTGAAGGAGAGTATTCCCGCCCCCTCTCCTAGAGAACCACATCACAAACTGGGTTTCAAACCCACCACCCCACTGATCATCACACCAGCCCTCTACTCCCACTGATCATCACACATCTGTTTCCCAAAGAGGGGGGAGGGAGGGGCACAACCACAGCATCAGTAGAAGGAGAAAACTTAATGTATTTGAAAGTAAGCTGAGAGAAACCCTACCATTGTCATGCATTTACACTGCATTTATCTAGGATCTGTTTTTCCCAAGGAAAATCTTCGTCTAGTATTAATTATGTCTATTATCTGTAGGATGTTAAAATAGTTTCAGTGAGTTCCCAGTGTCTCTGTCTCATGGTCTTTGTGGAACCTGAATATCCCTGGTACTCATCAGTCATCAGTCATCAGTCATCAGTCATCAGTCATCAGTCATCAGTCAAGAGTCTTTTGCTCCCAGATAGTCCCATAAAGGGTATCTGTAAGGATCGCTACTGTACACACTTCCTGTTACTGTCCCTAGTTCATGGTATCAGTTCCTATTAAAGAAAAATGCCTAAAAAAATGAAAACATTTTATATCTAGGTAACAAAATCATATTTGCATTTTAGAGTGCCAAAAACCAATGTTTTTTTGTCAGAAAAATGTCAGTTATCTAATACAATACACCACAAACATCAGGGGGCCCAGGATAGGTCCTTGAGGAACACCAGTACAAAATGCACCAGGGCAAATGTTAAATTCCTCCATATTTTAAGGGGTTTAAAGATAACATTTTTCATTGTTTGTGTTTCTGCAGCCTCAGAGTTTGTGGTGAAGGATCTGCTTTGCTCTGGTGTCGTATGGTTCAGCCTGAAGTTCACAGGGGCTTATCTAAAAAGCTAAACAAAATGAAAAAAAAAATTATTATTTAAGACTGTTTTGGCTGAATATTCCACCTAATTCTTAATAAGAAGGTTATTTTTTCACACTTCAAGCCTTCCATGTCCCCTGTGTCCTTTTGGTTGATCCAGTCCTTTCCTCAGCTGGGTGACAGTGCAGCTTGATTGTTTTCCAGATGTTGGTGTTTTCCTTTTAGCCCTGTTGACCATGTTCTTCAATCCTGTCCAGCTCTAGCTGCTCTTTTCCTCCAGGGTGTATTTGTTGTTTCCTCCTGAGGAGCCTTGAGCTCGTGATCTTTCTCCTCTCCATCTCACTCCTTTCTCGTCCTCCACAGACGGCTGGTATAAACACTACAGATAAGGAGCTTGAGGTTCTGCTCTTGACCAATGTGTCTTTTGAGGATGCGGGCGAGTACACTTGTCTGGCAGGGAACTCTATCGGCTATGCTTACCACTCTGCTTGGTTGACGGTGCTGCCAGGTATATTCTACTTCTTCTACTTCTGCTTCTTCTGGTTCTACTGGTCTGTGGCTCTGTGGTCTCTCTCTCTGTTCTAAAGACAAACTCAGATCTGGTTAATCTGTGGTTTCACTTCAAGGGAAATGTAAAAATATGAGAAACTGGACTTGGTAAAGTTTGTAGACAAATATGCATACATAAATATATATATATATATAT